GGTGGGAGAGGTGACTCACTGCATCCCTCCCTCATCCCATCCCCCACCTGTTTATTCAAGTGAATCAGGTTAGAATGAACATCAAGGGCCGCCTGGGAAGAGAAGTCAGAGACTGAGTCGCTGCCTTGACCAGGGCTGATGATGGTCACGTGGGTGACAAGCTGGCTTCTCAATTTCATAATTAGTGTCAACCGCAATTTACTGAGCACCATGCTCTGGAAACAGCGCTCCCTTTCATAGCTTCCTGCATTTCCATAGAGGAAAGGTTCAGAGCGAGTATTTGCAATATTGTTTTTGTGCTTTTTTTTTAATCAATGTCAAAATCCCAGGTCTGGTTTTAATGTTACTTGAAACATCAAAAGAATGTTCATGAATAAAAGCAGATCACAGATGAAAATCTCTGCTCTAGACTAAAATGCCAATATTACACCTGGCCACCCATAGGCTGTGGGCCTCGAGGGAGTGTCTTGCTCTCTCTCTCAGCCTCTATCAGTTTCTCTGGGGAGGTGATGCTGATACCTGCCACTTGGAGCTGCTGTGTGGATTCTGTGAAGCACTTAGCCCCATCAGTTAAAAACAACTTAAAATTTTGATCCAAATAATAGCTTGGTAGATAGGCCAACGTCCTCTCCAACCATTTGATAGATGAGAATACTGAGTTTCAGACATACAGTTTGGTAAGTTCTTAACCTAATGCAGAACAGGAATAACCCTCAGATCTTCTGTATCTAGACCAGGACCCTTCCCTTCCCTGGTGCTTGCCGTGGCCAAGGGTCAGCAGGTGAGCAATAGATCTAGAATCACCTTGCTCTTGCCAGAGTCACTGGGGTTTCATATTGGGTCCAGAGTGATCCAGCACATGTAGGTTCAAGGACCCCGGGACAGTTTTCTTAGCACTAGTTAAGTGGGCACTATATTAGCCAGCACCGTGTGCTGTCAACGGGGTTGTGAGCTTTATTTTGAGAAGGGTCCAAGGCTTCCTGTCCTCTACCAGCCACTGCATACCATGGGAGGCTTTTAATAGAGATGTCCCCTGCATAATCTCATGTTAGGTTTAATTTTTACCATTTAAGTTTTTATCAGAGTGATACACACAAACTCTGCATACATGCATGAAGAAATGAGATAGACTTCACTCTCTGTTCCCCTGAACCTCTTACCTTCATACTTTTCCCAAGTTCCTGGACCCTCAGCTTCAGTTTCCTTACCCACAAAGTGAGGAAGTTGTGGACACAGACTCCCAGAATTGTCTTTTTCCAATACACATTATTATAGTACGTGGAACTAAGGTCAGCTGAGATCCTCTGCACCTTTGGAGAGAGTGCTACCATGACTTAAATAATGCAGTTTACCTAGGTTTAGGGATATCTTCAGAAGTCAGCTTTTTAATTCAAGAAAACCATCTTAAGGCAGGGCATACATCTTGTTATGTATGGTTTTGTCAGACTGTTATGGAGGCATCTCTGTGAACAGGGGAGGAGTGCTGAAGCACTGGGTGACTGTCCCAGTCTGCCATGCTGGGGACTTCCTGAATGGGGAGTAGCTGGGGGTCGGGGGAGGGTGGGAGATGGAAGTGGATGTATACTTAAAAGTGGAAGGAGGGAGGAAGAGAGACATGGGGGAGACACATGCAGGAGAGACACTAGAAGAGATATTTTCTGCCTCTCTCTCTGTGAGAGACATGGAGGGAGATTTTTCTTGGACCTTAGTAGAGACAGTGGCAGCTTTTATCTCAATTTCTTGTTGGATTATGTGAATTTTGAGTCTCTCCTTTGGCGCTGGGTTTCTGGGACCTGCCTAACTGCTTTCATGTGGTTCCCTGTCAGTGGTACTTCAGATTTGTGGCATGTTTTTGAACCTCAGTAGCCCTATGTCAGATTGAGCCTATTTGGCTGGGCATTTGATCATAAGGGGGATGGGTAATTTTTGGAGATTTACTGGAAAAATTTGAAAATTTCCCAATGTTATTTGAACCCTCCCCCCCCACCCCAGCATACCAATCCTATTAAAAATCATTCACATTAACAGTATGTTTTCCTGGCCTTTGTGATGTGGGTGGCCAGACCTCTTTTAGAATGGACACTCTTAAAATCTGGGGTCTCTGGGCTAAAGAGATGAAAGTGTCCCCTCCTTTTAATGCAAACCTCTTTGTTCTTCATGAGATTCCATGCCTCTTAGTATAGGACATAAGCCCCTAACTTTCCTCCATTTAGTTTAGAATTTATGACTATGTAAATTTTCCATATGTATCTTAATTAAATTTGGTCTTTTCCTCCCACTAATAGGTGTGATGTTCATTTGTTTGTCTGTCTAGCCTCAGAAGAATTCTGGTGGGGAGGGAGTTCCCTGCACCCAAACAACATTAATAATTACTCTGCAGGTTCTGTGATCAACATAAAATGAGTTACAACGTGACGGGGGGAAAACCTTTTGTAAATGTTAAGGCAGTTTTCATCTCTAACTCTCTCTGTCAAGCCTGAACCCACTCCTTCCATCATGAGCAGCGAGTCTGTCTTCTGTTTCTCTGAAATATTTCCTAGCACCTGCCCAGCTGCCAGAGTGACAGGGACCAGCCCTGTGTTCAATAAAGGAGAGTAAAACTGTACATCCAGAATGACAAATTCAGCTTTCTAACACTTGTTAAGCAAATCTCTATTGGGTTGTAAATTAAAACTCACTCCAACTGGTAAGAGAGCGTCCTCTCACCAGCTTTCACAATGAAAACCTGGTCAAATTACTTAGTGTAGTTGAGCCTCAGTTTCCTCATTAAAAAAAAATGATAATAGTTGCCTCACTGGGGTATTGTATCAAACGAGGAAACATTATGACAGCCAAAATAGGTGATATTTTCCTTTTTCCTTTTTATGTTTCTCCCCCTTTCTGTTTTACTCTCTGAAGATCTGTGCCTCAGCTTGCTTTTCCATGAAATGGGGAAACAATCCTTAGCTCACTGGGCTGTTAGAGGCCTTTGCAAACTGACGTGGACAATCAGCTCCTGTGTGGGGCTATTCTCAGGATCACTGACCTCCATCTGCTGAGCTGTCCGCCAGACCTCACAGGCCTGGGTTGCTGTACGCAGTGGCCACAATTAGAAGTCATTTAACATAGCTTCTTGAACTGTTCATCTAACGTCAGTCCCTGATGCTCTCACATCTACCTGTGGTGCTTTGCAGTCTCTTAATACCTCTGCCCACATACATCATCCCCTCTGTCTATCGGTCCCCTCTGGATTTCAGGATACACTGGACTTGACATTAGCCATTCATTCTCTCTACATGGTAACTGCCCCAATCCTGAAGGCTGTTCAGAAGCTGCCCTTCACTGACAAACCCCTCTCCCCTTTGAATAAGTACTAAAAAGATTCATTATGACCAATAAAGAAATCAGGAAGTGCTTCCAAAGCCTTCAAGGACCCACAGCAGGAATAGCCCTAGCCCCTTCTGTAGGCCACCAGCCTCCTCTGCAGTGGATGAAGAACTGCTGGGTCTTGGGACCCAGAGGGGACAGTCAGTGTGGCTGGGCCTGGAGCCCCAAGGGCGGGCAGTCAGCTAGGGGAGCTTGTCTGCTCTATTCTGGGCACAGTTTCAAGGCCAGCTGCAGGGAGAACAAGCAGTCGCTGTGTGCCTGCAGCTGGTGGTGGTTAGGCCAGGGCTGTCCCTCACTGGGGTATATTTAAAGAGACCCCACTGGATGATCATGCCAGCAGGAAAAATGCACACATATCTCGTTAGCTACGTTCAGTGTCTCAGTGCCTGGCCAAGCCCTCTCTACCTCCACTGCAGCTCCCAGGCTGTGCATTATGTATCAACAGAGGAAGGCAGCGTTTTCTGCCTCTTTAGGTACCTGTGGTAACTCCTGGGGACAGATGCCCCTGGCTCCTGGGCCTCCCTCGCTGCTCTCCCACCAAGCTGGCTCCAAGTCCAGGGGATTAGCCAGAATGTGCACCTCCTACTCTGGCTGGTAACCCAGCAACCAATGGGAGGGGCAGGTAGATGAGTCAAATAGAAGCAGAGAATCTCTGGCTTTGTGTTTTGTTTGTGAAAACTCCCTGAGAGCAAAGGCTGCTTTTCGGCTGGGAGTGGTGGGGCTTTCCCACACTGCTCCGGGCCAAATGCTCCTCCTCATGGGATGCCCTAGACCCACGACTTGACTGCTGATGGAGCGCTTTGGAGAAGGTGAAGGGCGGGGGCAGGATGAGCTGAACTCTTTGGCTGCTTTTTTCACTGGTTTCTCTCAAGTGAAAACAAGACTTACAGGCTCGGATCCCAGGAGAAGGTGGTGTTGATAGCTAATAACTATGGAAAAAAGAACTGAGGTGCTGCAGAACAAAGCAGAGCTGGTACACGGAAATGGAAGGGCTTTCAGGTGGCTGGCAAGCAGAGACACCTTCTCATGACAGTGCCAGGACTCCAAAGGCAACTTAGCAGAGAGGGGCATGAAGTGGGTACCTATTCAACCAGGACAGGGAAGCTGATGGGCAAATTGTCTAAGGCAGGCTGCCACAAATGCAGAAAGGGCTTCTGGATGTGAGTGCTCCAACAGGATCAGCTACAGAATTTGAAGAGCCCAGTTCAAAATAAGAATGCAGAGCCATTAATTAAAAAAAAAATCAATAATTTCAAGATGGTGACAGAAGTGCATTAAACCAAGGGTCCTTGGTGGATCACACAGCTGCATAGCTGTAAAGCCTGCCTCATGTACTTATGAGTAAGCTCCTTGAAGCAGTTGTGAAACCTGGGGCAAGGTGAGTTGGGAGCTAGGCTTGGGACATTACCTCTACTTCAACAGCAGCTCTTCCTGTGCTGGTGGCAACAAGGACTGAGGCAGCCCCGAGGGCTGAGTGAGGCGGTGGAGGTGTTTGGGAACATGACAGAGATACAGCAAATGGAATACATTCCCGATGACCTCTTAAGAAGTGAGGCATGTGTTTTGAGAATGTATATGTCAGCCCAGGAATAGATCTAAGGCCCAGGAAGCCATTGCCCCACTTAGGAATGTACCTCCAACTCGATGTGGTCGTGGAGTTTCTTGCAGGTGGCTGCAAAGGTCTCAGAGGTGCCAAATTCAAAGTACCACAGCTTGTTCTTCATCCTGGGCCATGAAACAGAGAGATGCTCAGTATTCTGTATCCACAATGGTCATGTAAAATCACTCCTATTAGGGCTGGGAGGTCCAAACCCACAGCATTCCTCAACCTTATATTTTCATTATTTGTTAATCAGACAAACAGGTATGGATTTAAAACTTTTTTTTTAGCAACTGTTCTTGCTAGAAACTTAGAGAAAATCCCATTAATTTTTTAGACATCATGGTTACTTTGGGTCAATTGCCAACAGCTCTCTGAACTTTGTGGTCAGAGCACATTTGCCTCTGTATCTGGTGCAAAGAAGAGTTCCATGAAAATCAGCCAGAGGTTAACAAGTGACAGCATGGTCTGGAAGCTGTGTTGCTATTACAAACAAAGGGGTATTTCAAACAGAAACCTCTCTTGGGTATGGTTTGGGTCCAAAGGCAAGAGAAGATGACATTTTGAGATTTGAGGGATGTACAGTCTTGGGACAGAGGCAAGACAACCTCACAAGAAACCATCTAAAATATGTGCTACATTGTCTGTGGTCTGATCGGGGGAAGCAGAGTACAGAGAATTAGATACAGATTTGGAGGCAAGGAAGAAAGAGAAAGAAAAAAATGATTTATTTGATAGTAGCCCCCTCACCCATGTCTTTCTCAATATATTTGATAAAGCCATAACAAACCTTCCTTTAGGGACAGACCTTGTCATACTTCTTCAAAGTTAGGGCTCATCATTCTGAGCTTTAACATTTATCAACATATTCCTTAGTGCAAAGTCAGACGGTGTGTCCTGACATTTGGTCATTTCTATCAGATGGTCTCACTAGGAAGTGTTCCTCAAGGTACTCTGTTTCTTCCATCCCAGCTGTCATCCCATCATTGGGAGCTGGCTATGAGAAAGGACAGCTGTCTAACTTATAAGCAGATTTTTGCTAAGGAAGGATTAAACAAAACCACATTCTACTTGGCACCCAGGAAAAAGAAAACCACTGTGGGTGGTGTTGATCTTCCATCCCCACGTTTGTAAGAAGAAAGGAGCATTCCTCAATGGTCAGAGAGCATTTATTTCTTCCTTTTTCTTAGGCCACAGCACAGGGCTGTGGCATACAACAGACAATGCATTTCTCAGAGTCTACCTAGAACTTGAAGATGAGGCTTTCATTGTGTGAAGATCTCTAAGATCTAATTGATTGGGATGTAGTGCTTTTGATTCTTAGTATGCATGAAAAGAAATGACAAGTGATGATGGGAAGAAAAATAACCAAGATCTGGGGGATAATACCTAATGTGGAAAGCTTGAGAATCCGCCACACTTTAAGTAGGCCAATGCTTCGAAGCCAGGGTGCTGCTGCACAGCATGCCTGCGGTATCAGTCGTTTCTACTTTTGTTAGGGGGAAAGGATGTCCTGAATGAACTCTGCAGGTATAGGTTTTGTGAACTCCACCCCCTACTTCAGTCATTGAACTACAGCTTCTCCCCTACTCCAGTACTGAAACTACAACTCCCAACGATACCAAAGGGAGGACTGTGAAAACCCAAGGGCAGAGCTAGGCAGCTATTTTGAGACTTTTGGGATAGATAGAGGAGCCATGTTGAGCTGAGGCTCTCTCTCTCCTTTGGCCTTGTGGCTGGTGGCTTGGCTCTTGATCAGCTTTCAGTGTGCTATTGGGGTTCTAAGTCAGCGGAACTGGTAGGATGCTCTAGTTAACTTGTATATCTCTCTCTGTTTCTCTGGGTTGTTCCTTTTCCATTCCCCATGTAATTATTGACCTTTTTGTGTGTGTCTGCAGTACAACTGAATCTTAAGCGTGTGGGTGAGGACCCACAGACAGGCAACCCAGGTTCAAACTGGGTTGCCCTATAACACTTTCAGAGGGGTCTGGGGCAGGCTGGCCTACTACTACTAATATTGGGGGTGTCAGGCAGAGCCCTCTCTTCAGTATGGGTAGCACAGCAAGCATTCCCATTTGTCACCTCAGTGTGTTATTGTTTTCTGTTCATGATGTGAAAAAATATTGGGAAATGTTCTAGATCAGTGTTCTCTGAATGTTAATGCACATACAAATCACCAGGGGATTTCATTAAACTACTCAGTGTGGAGGCCCAAACAAGCTGCTGATGCTGGCCCAAGGATTATACTTGGAGTGGTGAGGATCTGTAGATTATATTTGTGGGTTCTTGAAAAATATCCACACGAATTACCTCAGAAATGTGATTAAAATGCTGCTTCCAGTTGTGGGGCAGGGCCCAGAACTATGCATTTTTGAGAGTCCAGGTGATTTTATGTAGGTGGTCAGGACAGTTGTCAGGACATTGAGAAACATCTCTCAGTGAAATGAAGCTGTAAGGACAGACTGATGAAACCTGGAAGAGAGGTTTCTATCCTCAGGGAGGATAGAAGGAGGGTCAGTGCCTTTCAATAGACAATGATGGCAAACGGCTCAGTAAGGGGAAAAACACTGATTGTCATAAATGTCAAGGCTGAGCATTCTTCTCCTGCAGTGAAAGCATCTCTGTAACCAGGAGACCTGCATTGTGATTCCATTTTCAAATATCAATGCTTGTCTGAATCATGACTTCTGAAAGTTATTGCTAGGAGATTTAGGGTTTTAATAAAAATTTCCGGAAGCCACAGTTATTTTTGCCCAGAAGTGGCTCTTTTGATGATCTAATAAGGTTAGGAGGTCATGATAAGGTCACTATCACAGAATGACTGCAAGGATCAAACAGGCCATTCTCCATTGCTGGCTAGATGTCCACTGCTTGGTTGTATGACCCTTGATAACTTACTTGACCTTTTAAAGCCTCAGTTTCCTCATCTTTAAAGTGGAGACAATCAAGAAATCTACTTCAATGGTAGTTGAAAAGATTAAGTGAGATGAGTCCAAGGATGTCACATAATGCTTGATCACAGTAAGTTCACCAATAACAATAGCTATTTACTTATTAGACATATTTCAATATCGTGGGCTACCATGTTTGGATAACATCAGAGGCACCAACAAATGACAGATGAAGCTGGGTAACTACTCTCAAATTTTTCTAGGCTGGAAAACTATGTGATCATATTGGTAAGATCACGTGTCTTCTTATGTAAAACATATTTCCCATTTGTCTAGATTTTCCAGAGCCATAGTCTATACCCTGAATCCTTGGTTAACCACCTTGACTGGTCATACATTTGTCCAAGGATATGATGTTGATTTGAATATGATTCTAAGACAGTGTATGTTTGCCGTGAATGAAAGTATTTATCAATCAAGAAACATTCATTGTGCAGCACAGGATGAGAATTATAGATACTACGAAGAACAAAATATATCACTCCATGAGCTAGGCACTGGGTAAAGATAGACAAGGAAACCAAAGCCGTTGTGTCAAGTACTAGGCACTGAGCACTGCCAGTGCACAGAAGGAGGGACTTTCACTTCTTAGTGGGGCTAAGAAAACTTTCTAGGGAGGCAATGCCTGGGTCAAATTCTGGAGGATGTAGAAGGGGAAAAAGGTGAGGAGGAACATTCCAGATGATGATGCAGGGTAACAGAGCATAAATCTGCTGGAGGGAATGTGGAAGGGTTGTGCCAGGAAGGCTGGAGAGCAAAAGGAGCCAGACTGTAAAGTTGGGATGCCAGGCTGGAAAGTTTGGGCTTTATCTTAAAGTCTGGAGCATGTCGGGAACCTTATGTGGGGGTGGAGTTGGGGGTGGTAGTGACCTGCTCAGATTTGGGCTTCACTCCCCATTTGAACAGTAGATTAGAAGGAGCGGCTACAGATTGGAGGTCTGGAGAATAGTTTGGGGGTGGTAGAGAAATACGGGAGAGAACTGAAAAGTGCCTGAACAAAGGTAATGACAGTAGAGTTTGGGAGAACAAGATGAATTCACAAACTAAAAATTAGGGGAACTGACAGAGCTGGTTGATTATGAGGAGTGAGTGGGAAAGAGTAGTCAAACTGACACCCAAGTTTTTGTCTTAGCTATGTGGATGATGAGTAACATTTACTGAGAGAGGGCACAGGAAATCAATTCTAGTGGCAGTCCTTTTTGTTATTAAAATACTTCCCCCCGCCCCATCTTGTCATCCCTCTGCCCATCCAGGTATCCATGGAACCATCCAAAAATCCATACTATTGGGTCAGCTGCTGTGCTACGTCTAGAGGTAAGTAATGGCAGCACCATCACTCCCTTACAATGAAGATCCGTTTAATAGTCCTCTAAGATGCAAACATTTGTTCTCTGATGCATACGAGACTTTCCAAAATGTAAGAGCTTTTATTTTTCCTCTTTTACTTAAGCTCTTTTTATGTTAGGAGTGAATACATTCCATTCCCATGAGCCTTTCGTTTTGCATTCTGCAAAACATTTTAAATGCTCATATCTCTTTTGATCTGATGATGAGATAGATACTGTTGCTTAAAAAAAAAAAAGAAACTAAGACTTGGAGAAGACAAATGACCTGCCTATGTAAAGAAAGGCCTTGCCCTTAGTGAGAAAGTGCAGAGGGGGCCCAAGCCTGGTTGTCTGACCCAAGAGCCTGCACTTTGCTACCCTGTACTCTATCTCTGGCATATGGTGTGTGGGCTCCTGCATGCTTACTGGACTGCTGTGCTGCTCCTTCCCCAGATTAAGTGGATGCTGTTAGGGTCTGCAGATTGTACACATCCTAGGAAAAACAGACTGGTGAAGAATGGCAGGACCTCCTAGCAACCAGAAGTCAGGGGAATTCTAGAGGAGCTTGAATCAGCTGTGCCACAGGAATCTTCTGGTCTTGAATCTACACTGACTTGGACAGTCAGGGAGTCCAGAATCGACCTATAGCAAAGCCACACGTTACCAGGAATGCCCTGCACCTTTCCTTACAATTCATCCAGAATTGGGGCAACAGTAATGCCCTGGAGCCATCTCCAATAGAGAGGGGAACAGGGAAGACAGAGTGCCCCTGTTCAATATGGGTCATTTCCCCTCATAATCAGAGGGGGCAGTGGGCCTGCTGCAGAGACCCTAGAATGGAGTCAAAGA